TACAGGCTATGGTCTTCACAATCACTTGTTATGCATCAGAGAGTTGAACAATGACCAAGGAGGATAGAAGGAGAATTGATGCCTTTGAGCTGTGGTGCTGGAGAAGAGTATTGAGAGTACCATGGACTGCTAGGAAAACAAACAGATTTGTCCTGGAAAGGGTTAAACCGGGTGGCTCCTTGGAGGCAAGGATTCTGAGGCTCCGTCTAACATTCTTTGGACATGTTGTGAGGAGAGACCGGTCCTTGGAGAGGGACATCATGCTTGGGAGGGTGGAGGGACAGCGCAGGAGGGGAAGGCCCTCTATGAGGTGGATTGATTCAGTGGCTGGGATATTGGGATGGGAGTGTCAGAGACAGTGCGATTGGCACAGGACAGAGCGGAGTTTAGGGCTGTTGTACATAGGGTCGCTATGAGTCGCAGGCGACTCGACGGCACATAACAACAACAACTGTAGAAGAGAGTGAAAAATGAGGACAGGTGTAATCCAGGAACTCATCTGGAGTGATAACAGTGATTACTCTGGAGAAGGGGATAAGCAGTTAGGCAACAGGACCTGGCAGGAAATGGCTCATTATGTATTTTTTTCTATCTTGAGTTTTTCCACCCCATGACTGTAGTAACTACACAGAAATAAGTACATTAAATTCACCAGTGCAAGTAAACAGCACTCCTTGCTAATTCCCAGGCCCCTCTGAAATATTAACTATTACTATTCTTATTCTTATTCTACACGGTTCAAGACCACAGAATGATGGGCCATCTCCTCCTGTGTGATTAACTGCCTCTGAAAACCCACCACAGGGTCGGCTCTGGGTCGGTTCTGACTCGATGGTACTCGACGACAACAACAACAACTAGAATAAACAATCTCTAATCATAACAACAACAACAACAATTTCTTGGAGTTACAAAAATATTTGTAGATTAAATATCGGAGAAATATCTCTTAGTTCATGGCTGGATACTAATTTTTTATCACCTCATTTCAGGTAAGGTAGCTACTGACACTATGTTATGTTTCAATGGTAACAAAATCATGGATTTAATGTTCAAACTAAATCACTAAAAAACATAATAATCCAAAGAGATTCGTGAATCCACTTTTATTTTTTTTTATTTTTTTTGTGAATCCACTTTTAAAATCAACCTGGAAATGAGATTTTTGAAGTTAGCACTGAGAAAAGTTTCTTTTACTTTCCTACATTATACAATGTTCAAATACATAGTTTTCAGCAAAATAAAAGCATCTGAGAACCACACAGCTCTAATTCACCTAATGTTTTAGATTTATGGTAAATAAATGCCATAGTTGTACTGTAGAGGTAAATGCCTTTTCTCTCCATGGAAGCGGTTTTGCTCAATGGAGAAACTGGTGAACACAATTCTAGTTACAATTTAAAAATTCTGACTGAAGAATGACCAGCTCAAGAAGCAACCTCTTATCAAAGAGTGCAACTGCTCTTTAATATTAATATAATAGCAGTATTCTGGCCTGAAATCGAACCCTTCTTTCCTTTTATGTATCATTTATGAAAAATAAAAATATAAAATAAAAAAAGCAATCCCTCCCCTCCAAAACACCCAGGTTATCTTCAAAACCAAACCAACTCTGTGTCTTGCCACAGAGGTAAATGGAAGCTTAAATCTTAACTTCATTCTTCACTTAAGATGTTACCACCTACTGGGTTAGTTTTGACAATTTTTGTTTTCTTGATGTTGATCCACTACTGTATTGATCTCATCTTACTTGGATCTAATCAGTAACCTTGGCACCAGCAGTGAGGAAATCAGGAGACAGTGCTTTGGTAAGTCTGTTGTCAGGGATCTCTCCAAGGTCCTGAAGAGCAATGATGTCAGAAGACTAAAGTGTGCCTAATTCAGGACATGATCTTTTCAATTAAGACTGCAGCCTTCAATATAGATTAAAACTCAACATCCTAGGCACCTCCTAGGCGGCTGCTGTCAAGGCAGGTTCTGAGATGTAACCAAGCTTACAGTGCCAGGTCACCTGCTACCACAAAGGTTGTAACAAATACAGTTCAGTTACAAAGGAAAAAAAACCCCACAAAACTCAACATCAAGAAAAACAAAGATTTTCACCACTGGGCCAATCGACAGCATCAGTATGGATGGTGAAGAGATTGAGATAGTTAACAGTTTTCATTTGCTTGGCTCCACAGTCGACACTCTTGGAACCAGGAGCCAGGAAATCAAGAGAAGAATTGCATTGGGAAAAGTCAGCTTGTCAGGGACCTCTCCAGAGCACTGAAGAGCAACAATGTCAGGCTGGAGACTAAGGTGTGCCTGATCTGGGCTATAGTCTTTGCGATTGTGTGCTATGCATAGGAGAGCTGGACAGTGACTACGGATGATAGAAGGAGAATTGATGCCTTTGAGCTGTGGTGCTGAAGAAGAGTATTGAATATACCATGGACTGTTAGGAGAACAAACAGGTTTGTCCTAAAAAGGGTGAAGGTGGGCTGCTCCTTAGAGACAAGGATTCTGAAGCTTCGTCTGACATACTCTGGGCATGTTGCAAAGAGGGACCAGTCCTTGAAGAGGGACATCATGTTTGATGGGTGGAGGGACAGTGCAGGAGAGGAAGACCACTGATGAGATGGAGCGATTCAGTGATTGGGGTAATGGGAGTAAGTGCGTCAGACAGTGAGGTTGGCACAGGATAGAGCAGGCTTTAAGGATCTTGTGCAATAGGGTCGCTATGAGTCCCAAGCAACTAGACAGCGTGTAACAACGTAACTAAATATCTGAGAGCTGGACAATGAAAAGGCTGATAGTAGAATTGATGCCTTAGAGCTCTGATGTTGGAGAAGAGCACTGACTATTCCACGGACTTCCAAAAGAACGAGCACGTATGTCTTGGAGAAGGTGCAGCCAGAGGGCTCCGTAGAACTTTGTCTCTCACACTTTGGACATGTTGCTGAGAGAGGCTTTCCCTTGGAGGGACTTCATGCTTGGGAAGATAGAGAGGCAACGAAAGCAAGGAAACCCTTCAATGAGCTGGACTGACAGTGACCACAGCAATGACCTCCAGGGTGTCGGAGGTAACGAGGAGGGCACAGGCTAGGACCGGGTTCAGGTCTGTTGTTCACATGAGTCATACTCCACTTAGTGCACCTTAAAACACCACCACATACAAACTAATCCATGACTTCAGTATCGGAAAGCCTGGATGTTCTTCCTCCCCTACTCTCTACCATACCCTACGGCTCTGGCTTGGGAAGACCAGGAGCAACATGAAGGCGGCCTCTGTCCCAACGTCCATCTCTGTAGCTGTCCCTGAGAGAGGCAATGCCCCTTCTCAGGTCATTCATATTTAACTCTGTCCATCTGAAAAATATCAGATACACTGTGGGGGTGTTTTTGTTTGGTTCTTTTCTTTTCTTTTCTTTTTATGGAGGGGAGTTGGGACATAAGGGTGAAGAAAACAACTGATTTTAAAGTATGCTAAATTATTCTGAAGACATACATGAGACTTTAATTTACAGGAAAAGAAGATAAAATCTGTAATTAAGGGCATAACTAAATTATGTACTCCTATCCAGTTAACACATTTTATCAAGACATTTCTGGAGTTATACCTCAAATAACAGCTTAGCTTCTGAAAAGGGATAAAATCCAAACCCTTACTACATAGTGAGTCAAAGTTGGACTTTTCTCTTCTTAGGAAATTATTCTCTTTATTTCAAGAGATTTTAAATTAGAATTCAATAGAAAAATAGAAAATTACTGAGTGCAATGGGCTGAATGGTGACCCCAAACACATGGCCATGTCCTAATGCTCAGAATCTGTCACCTTTATCACATATGGCAAGAGGCGTGATTAAGGATCTGGAGAGAAAAAGTTTATCTTGGATTCTCTAACAGTAATCACTTGTTGGGGTGAATTCTAACACACGGGAAAATGAGAAGAGGTAGTTTTCACACACATACACATGTGCACACACACACAGACAGAGAGAAGGTGATGGAGAGATGGAGCAGCACGTGATGCTGACAGAAGCCAAGGAAAGGGGCGGCCACCAGAAGCTGAAAAGACAATGAAGGCCTCTCCTTGAGACCCTCATAACATATGTACACCCCCTATTTCAGACGTCCTGCCTCCCACACTGTGAGAGAATTCCTGTTTGAAGCCACCGACACTGCGGCACTTTGCTACAGCATCATGGGAAATAAAGCACTGAGGAAGAAGAGGGTATTCAAGCCGTAATCTTTAACGGATGTCTATTAAGAGTTGACTCAACTGCTTTCCATAATCTTGGAGCTAACACTAACAGACATCACTGGATAACCTCACGGGGGGTCCCGGGAGCAGCAGTTACACCTACTTCCTAACGACCAGTCAAAAGATACGAGAAGAAATGAAATCTGGTCTTTCAAACCAGACTAAAAAAAATCAGCAAACAGAAATTAAAGACAAACACACATGTCAAACACTCACACGTGGACACAACTTCTAAAACTATGCGCCAATGGGATCTGACCACATAACAGGGCAAAGTGGGCAGAAGGACCTGGGAAAGGGAGCGTCACGACCCGGAAAAGTGAGCAGAACCCAGGCGTCGGCAATCGGGAGAAAGTGATGTGTAGAGAACTTTAAAACACAAAGGCCACATTCTAGGCAGGCAGATTGGCACCTGGTCATCCTGAAACTGAATTTAACACTCCAACAGTGTTACCTCTCGACACCTCAATGTTGTCACCTTTACACATGGATCAATTCCAAGTTAATAACCGGGCAGGGCCACTGTGACGACGACAGGAGATCGCATGGTCCTGCCTGTGGTTTAGGACAGAGCTTCTCTCCACATAAACTAGCTACATTACACTCATTTCTAGATGAAAAATTTAAGAAAGCTAAAAGAAAAAAAACCAAAACCCACCAACCAACCCAACCCCAAAACAACAAAACAAACGCCACAGCTTAAAGCACAAAGCCTTTCCTGCATTCTGTTGACAGCCAAGGAACAGGCACTTACCACATCGCTAGCGCTGGAAAACTCGTTATTAACTAGACTTTCCAGAGCCATCCACCGCACTGGCCTGTTCTCATTGTCCCCCAGGCAGTGATAGTCCATGGGGAACAAGTCTCTGGAGAGGGCATTATCTGTGATCTTCACTTGGAGTGTATCATCAATGCTATCAGGGAAAGACAAGAACAACATAGTCAGCCTGAGCACCGGACGCAGATCACCAGTTCCTCCTGCATCCCCCACCAGTGCCATCCCCTGAAAAGAATCCCAAACCCAGGGAACACCAAGCATCGCAAGTCAACAAAGCGCTCCTGGCACCTACACACAGTTCCTGGCGGCCAGGTCTTTGTGGATGACTTCCCTTCGGGCCAGATAGCTCATCCCACAGGCAATCTGAATGGCCATGTGCACCAGGTCTTGTTGAGAAATGGCCTGTGGTCAAGACAAAGTGGCAGTGTTTACAATTAGCACAAAAAAATCATGATGACTGCCGCTTCCTGGATCTCACATCCCTACTCTGTACACAGCACTCCTGTGCCCCAATGTACTGATTTGTAAAAAGATACTTCTTGAGCAGGAATATATTTCCATATCTCCTTTATCTACCACAGACCTTTCATTCTGTAACATGTCATGAACTTGACTATCTCCTCTTGTCCATCAGGTATGTTAGCGCCCCAATTTCTAGTACATATAGGAGTTACTCAATAAAGATCTGTTCCCCTGACTATGGAATTCCCAAGGTAAGTATTTCAAATGTTTATTATTCAAAACCTTGTCCTTGTCTTTTAAAACAGTGGTTCTTCTTGGGGGATAATTCCCCGAGGACTATTCTCAAACTAATACAAGTCCACACTCTCTGCCCTCATCTGCCCCTCTGTATGTATGTCAGCATCATGAGCTGAGGAATGAAATTATTTCCTAAGTGACACAAAAGGCCCCAGGTCCCAACCACTTACTGGGAATCCCAGCTTTAACCCTGTCAGTTCACAAAGCATACTGCACGTGCTAAGCCTTTGAATCATTTTTTCCCAGCGACTACAGCAAGTAAATTATTTTTTAAAATCTATTTAACGGGGTTACCAGAGACAGCTAGCAGCAAAATACTTGCTAGGATTAACTGCCATTATTAGCATCATAAAAGCATTTGGAAGCTGACCAAATGCTTTACAGCGATCTGCAGACAGTGATGACAGAGGACTTCCTAGCTGACTAAACTCTTACAGTCAAACACTGTCAGACTACACCCCGTAATCCTCAACAATCTAGGTCTCTAGTCATTACCAGCTATTAGTATAATATGGACCACAGGGATCTGCAAAGAGTTTCCCTTCTAAAAGGAAAATCTAGCATCTTCAAACACCTCGTAAGCAAACGACTGGGTTGGTATTACACGGGATGTGGGGCGTGATTATGAATAAATACAAGATTTGGCATTTAAGAGAAACTTCAGCATCAGCAATGCATAAGCTTCAAGACAGCAATCAAAGCATCTTCATTTTCCTCTAAAATTATCTCCTGGCTTTTTACAAAGTTTTTGGTGGGGTTCGCCTCACCTAGGTCTTTAAACAGGTTATACATTGGAATTTTAGCGTCCATTTGAAAAGGTGTGATCACTCAGTTTTGAGGGGAACTTCAAAAAGGAGCAAGTAACTAGAAATAAACTCTTCTAACTCATACTGGTTTAACGTCCAGCATCTATCTCTCGTGTCTAGAATCTGTCAGGATTTACTAATCGTACATATGTATGTGTGTATATATCTATACCTATATCTGTATCTATCTACATATATAGGTATATGTAGAGATAGAGATAAAGATATAGATATAGATAGATATAAATATATAGATATATGTAGATAGATATAAATATAGATAGAGATATATAGATATGTTCTTAATGGATAATTACATTCTTCTAAGTAATATAGCCCTGGTCTGTCCATTTCCTGGACAGAGGTAACTCGTGGTTGTTGTGATACTAAATATTGTGACACTGATGTGTCAAATCTGATAATGGTCACCCACGGTGGACAGTGTTTGGTGGAGCTCCCTGATTAAAACAGGCTTGGAAACAGGAATGGCATCCACTTCCAAATAGCTTGCCTCCAGAAACTCTACAAACGTGGAGAAATGACCTAAGTTATACAAGTGTTCAGGTCTTTCGTTCATAGGGTCGCTATGAGTCGTCTATGACTCTACAGCACCTAACAACAACTAATTTCTAAGCTTGCAATCATTGCATCCCTTATATGTGCAAATTCTGCCTTAAAAAAGGATTTTTAGAAAAGTGCAACAATGAATGAATGGAAATCCAAAGTCTCTAAATTTTTACTGAAATTAATAATAAATTTTAAAAAATTTTAAAAAAGAAAAGGATTTTTAATAAAAATTTTAAAGCTACAAATATAAAAAGGTACAATCAAAGGTTACAGGTAAATCTGCACCGGGGCAAATGTTTCTCACCTGAGGATTATTGGCCTCTACTAACTTGCACTGCCGTAAGAAGAGTTTCAGGTTCCCCCAGTTCATGTAAGGCAACACCACCATCGGCTTTTCTCCTTCTTCTATACACACATGTGTAATAGGAAGGAGATTTCTATGGGAGAAAAAGAAACCGGAAGAGAAGTGACATCTGAAACCTGAAGCTTATGTCCAATAAAATGTAATAAAAAAGATAAAAGATATTCTTAAAACAAAAACAACCAAACATATTTCAAAACGTAATTATAAACAAAAATTGTCATTAAAAATGCAACATTATAAATGCTCTCTAATTTCAACCAGACTCGGAGGTTCCCATACATGTACTTTCTGATAGAGGAAAGTTAAAACCTCTAAGTTGTTTCTTAAAGACTGAATTCTCTGAAGATACACAAGATACACTAAATCTTACTTGAAAAAGTATTCAGAGGCATTTAAGTGATCAAGACTTTGTGATGATAAACCCCATTTATTCCATTATTACAGTTTTTCAAAAAACCCTGGTGCAGAATGTGAATAAGGCAAGACCATTTAGAGGCTCCTAAGAAGTTGAAATCACCACAAAACCAAGAAGTCCTCAGCTGCTCACAGGGCATGGGACCGAGAATTAGGTTTCTGAACCACCATCTCTCATCCGAATGACCACCTGCATGCCCGCCACCTCTTGCCCGTAGTTTCCCGAAGACGGAGATCCTACAGACCATACACGGCGGAGCTGACGTGTGCAAGTTAAGTGCACGGCAGACAATGTCTGCTATCTCCACGGCTCAACAGTACATGAAGACATTTAATCTTCTGCATGATGGCATCTCCTCCATCTGGAAGCATTATTCATTTATGCAAGACTATAAACATTTTTACATGATCACTTCATTTTCTCTACTAAACTGAAAATTTATACAGACAAGAATTATACTAGGCTCTTATTTTCCTACATAACTCCTTGTACTCTCCTCCATGCATGTGTGTGTATTTATAATAAGCATTTGATATACGTTGTTGTTGTTATGTGCCATCGAGTCGCTTGCGACTCATAGCGACCCTATGGACAACAGCCCTAAACCCTGCTCTGTCCTGTGCCAATCGCATTGTCTCTGACATGTCCATGCCCAGTATCCCAGTGACTGAACGCATCATTGAGGGTCTTCCTCTCCTGCGCTGACCCTCCACCCTCCCAAGCATGATGTTCCTCTCCAAGGACTGGTCCCTCCTTACAACGTGTCCAAAGTATGTCAGACAAAGTTTCAGAATCCCTGCCTCCAAGGACCAGCCTGGCTTCACCCTTTCCAGGACGAATTTTTTTGTTCTCCTAGCAGTCCATGGTATAGTCAACCCTCTTCTTCAGCACCACAGCTCAAAGGCATCAACTCTTCTATCATCTCTAGTCACTGTCCAGCTCTCTGAAGCATAGCAAGTAAGGGCAAATACCATGGCCTGTATCACGTGCACCTTAGTCTCTAGACTGACATCGTTGCTCCTCAGTACCTTGGAGAGGTCTCTGACAACAGCCTTTCAAAGTGCAATTCGTCTTTTAATTTCCTGGCTGCTGGTACCAAGAGTGTTTACTGTAGAGCCAAGCAAACGGAAGTTGTCAACAATCTCAATCTCTTCACCATCTAACATGATGCTGCCAATCAGCCCAGTGGTGAAAAATCTTTGTTTTCTTGACATTCAGCTTCAATCCATATTGAAAACTGCAATCCTTGACCTTGTGCAGCAAGCGCTTCAGGTCCTCCTCAGTTTCTGCAAGCAGGATTATTGAATCACGGGACATTTTTCCACCTACTAGGTTTTTTTACAAAACTTGAATACAAATTTGAACAAATTCTTTTAATTTCCCTCACTCCTTGACCCATCAAATTGTACAACCCAATGATTAACCCCTTCTCCCCCTGCACATCCACATCCCTCTGCTTCCAGCCTCTCCCACCCCTCCCGAATCCTTATACTCATTTTACAATAATAGTTTTATACAATACAGTATTCCACTGTGTGAATGCACCATAATTTCTCAATCAATTTGTCTGTGGTTGGACATTAGGGTTCTCTCCATGTTCTTGCGATGATGAATAACACTGCTATGAACACTGGTGTACAAATCTCCATTTGTGCCTCAGTTCTCATATTCTCAGGGTATATTCCAAGTAGTGGAATAGCTGGGTCATATAGAATTTCTATGTTCAGCTTTTTGAGGAAGCGCCAGACTGCCTTCCAGAATGGTTGCACATTTTACAATCGTACCGACCAATCTGAAGAGTTCCTTTCTCGCCACGTCTTCTCCAACATCTATTACTTGCTGTTCTGTTAAACTTTGCCACTGTTAACTGGAATCACAAGATTTTTAACTCTTCAAAGGGGTGTTTTCAGTCCCTAAATACTGTTCATTCATTTCTCCCCCACTTAACAAAAAGGTCCTTTATTTATTTGCTAACTAAAAAAAATTAACCTGCTCATTATATTAGTGTGAGAACCTAAATGAAACCTTGGCTTTGAAATCTGAACCGAGGAAAACTCCCCTTCCCGGCGACCCGGGGAACAACTGTGTTTCTTCCTTTCCAGTACCAAGACTTATCAGCATCAAACGTTCCCGTCAGCCTTGGTTTTCCAGAGGCTGCGTGCTATTCTGTGTTCAATGACAGCAGAAACATCTGGATTGACCTCTGGCTTATTTGTTTGCTTTTCTACCACTACCATCCCAAGGCACTCAGCTTTCACTGTCAGTATCATTTTACTGACATTACTGTAACTATCTTCCCATTCACGCACTGCTATCCAGTCAGAACCGGCTCACAGCTGACCCTCCAGTGCGTGTGCAGGCACCGGAAACTGCACAGGAGGAGACTGGCCATCTTTCTCCCTTACAGTGGTGGATTCCAAGCCCACAGGCCTCAGTGTAACTCCTGACCCACTGCCTACCAGAGCCCTCTAGCTTCATTTTAGGACGCACTGGGGACTTAGTAGGTAAGGAGCTGCACTGTCAACCCAGAGTTACATGGCTCACATCCACCAGATGCTTCAAGGGAGAAAGGTGGGCAGTCTCTCTCACGCAATTTGCAACCTCTGAAAACCTGCTGGAGGAACAGCTATGAGTCGGTTCCATCTTGAAGGCACATAACTACATTAACAAGTTTTGAATATAAATGAAAGTCAAACAAAAAAAGTAAATCAAAGTTTCTTCTTTAAGGAAGCCCTGGTGGCCTAGTGGCAGGAAGCTGCACTGCAATCCCAGACGTGCGTGGTTCAAATCCACCAGATGCTCTGCTGAAGAAGGAGGGACAATCTCCTGTACCAGTCAAGATTCGATTTGACAGTACACACACACAAAAATAATAAATTTTTTAAAAAAGAAAGTTTATGGACTCTTGCCTATGGAGTCTATATGTTGAAAAATTTAATTAAAAGAATTTTTAATGCATGCATATCATCAGTCTATTTTTAATTAAAAAATTGCATACAAAGATTCATAAACTACTTCTACAAAGCTTAGTTACTTTTCTCCTTTTGTGGACTTTACAAATTGCTCTTTATTTTTTTCTCTTGAATGAATCTGCATTTTGCTTTTATATCAAAGAAGAAAAGGAAAACATTCCAAAACATTTTCAAGTCAGAACCCACAGCCGTGTTTTTAAGACAAGAATGTAGCATAAAATTTCACAGGCGTAAAATCTCTCACCTGTGATGAAGACCTCGTAGCTTACAACTTTCGGTGAGCATCATCGTCACCTGAACTTCAGATGCTTGATCTAGAGAAAGAAAAGATCACGCTGTGAGTGATAATACAACATAAAGCTATCACTTCAGTATTCACGCTCACTCAGAGTGACCCCTCAGGACAGCTCAGAACGGCCCCACCAGGTTTTTCAAGTTTCAGGGGGCAGACTGCCACACCTCTGTGCTGAGGCGCAGCTAATGGGTTCACGCCACCAGCCCTTTTACTAGCAGCCAAACACTTAACCACTGAGCCCCCCTTGCAGGTGTTACGTGTCATCTAGTCGAAGTGACTCCCAGCTGACCTCCCAGCAGGCTTTCAGGGGCTGTAAATGGCACAGGAGATTGTCTACCTTCTCCTTCAGAGAAGCTGGTGGATGTGAACTGCCTGCTTTTGTGTCGGCAGTGCAATTCCTTCCTACTAGGCTACCAGAGCTCCTTACTCCTTTAATACATTACATCAGTACATATTTGTGTGGGTTTTTTTTTAACTCATCTAACATTGATTTTATTTTTTCCTTCCGTTTCTTTTTTTCCACTTCCTTTCCTTTTCTATTATGATTTTAACAAAAGTTTACAGAAAAGTTGGATTTTCATTCATTCATCATTGCACATGTTCCTACCTACCCAGTTCGCATTTAAAAAAAAAATTGTAAAATATTCATTCATTGTTGAATACTTTCTTCCCTTCCCCCTCACACCCCTCCTCCATCCAGTTCATTTTGCTATGCACCTCTTATTCCGGACTGTTGTCATGCACATAATGCCTAATCATATATCCCTTTTAAATAGTTCTTTCCTTCATCTGTTCCAATGTAGGTTTCATTGCTTATCCCCTCTTTTCTTAGTTACCCCCCCAATTCTTATGTCAGTCTTGTTTTATAACAATGGTGTTATATAGTGTTTGTCCTTTTGTGACTGAGATATTTCACTCAGCATAATTTCCTCCAGAGTCACCCATGCTGTATAATATTTTATGAGTTTCTTGTTTTTCAGTACTGCATAGTATTCCATTCTGTGACTATACCATAGTATTTCTATCCATTTGCTGACGGGCACTTGGGTTGCTTCCATCTCTTTGGGTGGAAGCTCTGATTTCTTTAGGGTATGTATATTCCTTGTAGTAGAATTGCTGAGTCAAATGGTATTTCTATTTCCAACTTTTTGAGAAAGCACTAGACTGCCTTCTATAGTGGTTATATCATATTATATTCCCACTAGCAGTAAGTAAGAATTCCAATCTCTCCACAACCTCACTAGGATTTGTTGTTTGTTGCCATGCTGAACTTTGCTTTTGTTACTGGGGTGAGATGATACCTCATAGTTGTTTTGATATTTGTTTTTTCAGTGTGATTTGAGTAAAAGCTACACTTGCATATTTCTAAAACTGTACAAAATTTAGTAAATAAATTAGTAAAAATTAAAAAAAATAAAAAAATTAGTAAAAATTATAGGAAATAAGAACTTAATACCAGTAACTGCAAACTGACTCATTTTATGAAATTCAATTTCACAATACTTATAAAATACGAAATTAAGATTTCTAATTTCAAGCTCTGGAAAATCACGTATGGATAGCTATTAGTCTTTACATAAAACCATAACATTTCTCATACTGCAAACTCTAATTCCTTGTAACGTCTTAAGACAAAAGAAATAGAATTTTTTTTCCTTTTTGAACTCTTCTACTCATTAAGCATATAACAAAGCATATAGATTTATCAAAGAATTTCATCAGCTCTAAGCAGCTTCAATTTAAAAAATTAAACATAGATGCGAAAAGAATAAATCTCAGAGATACTCAATTACATGGAGTAATCTAACGATTTTGAGTCAAGCACATTATAGTGTAGTCAAAGTACTTCCCGTTGGCTTGCCATTCGAGTCTTAACACAGCTAACCTAAGGTACTGTACGTTCTTTAGTTTCCGTCCAGCACAGACAGAACCTTATAATTAACAGTACCAAGGCGTGGAAACAACGAATTCAAGTGTATACGGAAAGAGAAATCTTATCTTGTAAAACAGTCCTAGTATCCACATTGTGTTTTCTTATCAAGAGTTACTTCCTTTTTTCCTCCCCTTCCAACCTAACTCAACCCAAATCTTAATACAAACTTCTTTTGTTAAGTCAAAATTCATTCAGGACAAATGCAATAACAACCTAGTTCTAAACAGTCCACAGAATATTATCACTCTCAAGGGAAAATATTTCCTTATTAAAAAAAAAATAATAGAGAAAGGGCAAAAGAGTTTGTTGGTTTTTAAATTTATGGTTTAAATTTTACATTTACTAAAAGAAGTATGCAAAATATTCTTCAAAATAGTTAGAAAACCTATTAGGACCTAACTTAACATGAGTCTTTAACAGTGTTTCAGGGCCTGGCAAAAGGGAGAGCTAATAATAAAATGCATATTGAAATAAGCAGAAGTTAAACCATTTACATGAAAAAGAGAAAGTATGTGTGTATGTGTGTGTGTTCTGTATCCTTTTAAAACTAGTTATTTTGCCAAATTAAAAACAACTAAGTTTTAAAGATTTTTTTTGTTAGATTCATACAACCTAACTTTTTAGAAACAAAATAAAAACAGAATTAAATCCTTTACACTCTCTTACAAAGTCATGCATGGAAATTTAGATCTTCCAAATTAACTTTGTAAACGTCATAAAATTTTGTCACTTGGAGTAAAAAAATACTTGACTTTGATTTTTCTATTTACACATTCCTTTCTGAATTTTTGTAATGAGCCATTTTGTCATCATAAACTGTATTAGACTTATGAAGCATTAGCATCCTATAAGCATTAGGACCCTATAAGCATTAGCCCCCTATAAGCATTAGGACCCTATAAGCATCCGCGTCCTATAACACTGCATGTTTCTTTCTCTCAAAATGAGTGACTTAACTAAAGATTATTTTCATAAATAGCAACTAGAAATTGTCAAATTCTAGTATTTTATAGTCCTGCTAATTGATCAGTACTAGAGAATAAGGCATATGAATGTTTTGTCACTTGCTGTGCATCTGAGAGCTAGACAGCGAATAAGGATGACAAGAAGAAACGATGCCTCTGAGCTGTGGTGCTGGAGGAGAGCACTGACTAGTCCAAGGACTCCAAAAAGAAAAACAGCTGTGTCCTGGAGAACATGCACCAGGGCGCTCCTTGGAGGCAAAGACGGCAAAGCTTTACCTCACATACTTTGGACATGCTGTTAGGAGGGGCTACCATTGGAAATGGACATTATGCTTAGGAAGGCAGAGCACGCTCGAAGGAGAAGACGCTCACTCTTATGGTTTGACACAGTGTCTGCAGCAATGGGCTTTAGCATGTCAGAACTGATGAGACAGTGCAGGGTAGGAGAGGGTTCAGGCCGGTAGTTCACAGGACCGCTCGCTGTAAGCGGATCTTGACTCGATGGCACATAACAACAGAGAATACGCCTCTATCAAAAACATTCTAGCATATTTTGATAGAAAATCTCAACTGGATATAAATCAATAAATGAAAAAGTAGACATCACAGTTCAAAATACTATCTGAAAGGAGAGTATGTGAAAATATAAATTAGTACTACCGCTTAGAAAATAATATGGCAATGTCTACCAATGTTTTAAATGGGCCAGTGGTTCCAACTATAGATACACCTAGAAAAGTGCTATCAACAAATATAAATAATAAATGTAAATATATATGCACACACAAGAGGGCTATTTTCTGCAGCAATATATTTAAGAGCCATAAAGCACAGAAGAAAGATAAACAATGGCTATCCAGATGAGGCACCAGGGGCCTGGCAGCATCATTACTTCCTCATTGATAGTCTTTACTACTGAAGCAGGGGAAAGTACTGACAATGTTTCGTAAAGAGGAGAAGGGGCATAAAATAACTGTATTCTAGGACAAACACAACAGTAGATAAAGCAACAAAGACATCAAATGGATAAAAAAATTGAACTAGAAGTCTGTATGATACTAAATAAATGTTCAGCATCTTAATTTTTCAGACTCCTCTTTTTAGACACCTAATGAGACTAGCCTGAATCTTCTAAAGAATTCGCGGAAACGGGTATGGAGTGGGTCACCTGAGCCAGGGAAGCATTGTGGATATGGGGGGGAGGGAGCGCTGAGAATCCTACCTTTGACTGTTTTCACAAATGCTTGTTTTTCTTTATTTGGATCTTTTTCATCTATTAAAATTCCATGGAAAATACGTCCAAAAGTACCTAGGGGGGAAAAAAAGTAGTAAACCACTAAAATATCAATTACAAAACTTTCTGGTACAACACAGCTTAAAACGAACACAGCAGGGATCTATGTAATGACATTACAGGCTTCTACTACTGTAAACAGCTGAAACTCCCTTGGTTTCTAACGATGGCTACAAGTTTTCAGTTGTGAAACAGCTGAACCAGCTTTTCAGAATGCAAACCTCCCTGTTGTGGGGTCAGACCAACACAGAGCTGGGCCACCACTGAGTTTTCGAGACTCTAGGTCGCACAGGAAGAGGCCATGCATCTCTCTTCTCAACAAGATGCTGGAAGATTTGAACGACCAGAGAGGTATGTTCTTTGAGTTCACAGTGCAACTCATTACAGACTTACATGATATACACTATGTCTGTGAGAATTATTTATGATCCAGGGGCAGTGGCACTCAGGAACAGGGCACCTACAAAGGGAGTGGACTTGGAAGGCTTTGCCCATGGTAACTGGTGCTGTGTGTTGTCACACGCCATGGAGTCAGAACAGACTCACAGCTGACCCTCCAGAGGGTTTTCAGAGGCTATAAATCACACAAGAGAAAAATGCCCATCTTTCTCCCTCAGAGCAGCTGGAGGGATTTGAACTACTTAGCTTTAGGATGGCAGCGCAACTCCTTGCCACCAGAGCTCCCTAAGACAATGGCAGAAGGGGGAAGTACACTCTTCTCCCCACTGCTGCGGAGCTTTCAAGAGACCTTTCAGAGAGAGCCAAGAGGCTTGAGTTCTTAGGTTCAGAGAGCTCTGGCCTGCAATCTGACTCTCCCCGCTGTGCCGGACATCAAGCAAGTGCTCAGCCTCTCTGCCAGTTTCTTCACTGCTAACACGAGCTCCCTAAAACCCAGATGCCTGGGAAGAGAAGCTCTGACCTCTGTGTAGGGGGAGGAGAGGGGAGGGCGGAAGGAGTAGTTAAAAGTGAACTACTGAACACTTCCAAGTGGAGTAATTCAGAGACTCACGGATGAGCCTGAAGTTCCCAATTCATGCGGTGCCTGTGATTTACAGACAGTGATTCAGAAATTTAGCGACTGAGTTGGTCCGTGACATCCTGGTGCAGCAGTTTAAAGACTCTCTTTTGGTAACTGACAGCAGGGAAAGGCAACATGTCACCAGCCTGACTACGGGTCACCAATACCACACTCGCTGTGGGCCCCACAGCATGTCATCTGTGTGTCCACACTCTCACCAGAGTAAAACCCAGCAGAAAATCACATGGACTTTATCAGCTATCACATATACACACATACACTAGAAGAAAGGAGGTTTAAACACTGCAATTCACCATGACGTTCCCAGAAGCAACAACCTCAATTCCCACAAAAAATTGTCACCCCAAAAAAGTAATCAAAATAGAGAAGAAACAGAGCTTTCAGAAAAAGCAAGCCAGATGGAATTCTACGAGAAAGAATTCCAAAGAATGATGGCTAAGTATGGAAGACAAGTATGAGCAATGGAAGGAATCGACAAGGAAAAATCTGTAAGAAATGGAAAAATAAAAAGCACCACCCAACATGATAAAACCAACAGGATATTAGAAGCCAAGTAAAACAAGAAATTGCAACCCAGAATACTAGGTCCAACATCACAGAAGCTGTAAAGCAACAGGTTCAAAGGACAAAAGATCAGAACTGGACAAATGAAGGACACAATCAGTGAAATGGAAGCTTTGGTGGCTTAGGGTAAAAAGCTGTGCTGCCAATCCAAAGGTACACAGTTCAAATCCAGCAGATGCTCTGGAGGAAAAAGATGGGTAATATTCCTCCTGTGCAATTCACAGCTTCTAAAAACCCACTGGGGAGTCAGCTATGAGTCAGTCCCAACTCTGCGGTAAACAACAACTATTATTGTGGTGCTATCTAATTCTTCTTAATCTGCTAAAGTCTATTTGTGTATTGTATAGCTCTACCATTTGGTCCTAGATATAAATTAAGGTTATGCTGTCTTGTTGTACTGACCGTTTAATCATTATACCATCTCATTCCTTGTTTCTTACGCTGCTTTTTACTTAAAAGTCTAATTTATCAGAGGTTAACATTCCTGCTCCTGCTTCTTACTAGCTGCCATTTATTTTTTCCCCCATATTTTTCTTCTCAGTATCTTTTTTTCTTATTTTTTTTTTTTTATTTTCAGTATCTTTAACCTCATGGGTCAGGTACGTCTCTTACAAAGGGCACACGGATGGTTGTAATTTTCTTGTAAATTTTGTTATTCTTTTTCTCATAACCGGTACATTTAATCCATTCACACTCTGTGTTATTATAAACAAAATTCTACTGGGGAAGATGACATGGTGAGGGGCCCACAGTGAGCGTGGTCCGGGCTTGGGCTCATGGCTCATGTCACTGTGGCCTCTTCCCCACTAGCAGTTAACAAAGGGAGGGTTTACTGAGTTGTGCACTGGTCAACTGTGATTAATATTACAAAACAAACTGTACATGAATGATAAAATAAAAACTAATTTAAGATTGCAGTGCAGCTTCTAGGCCACCAGAGCTCAAAAACTAATTTTTTAAAAGATAAAAAGTAAACTATAAAACATCCTTGCTCTCTTACTTTATTCATAAAAACTTTTACCAATAAAAACATTTTTACCTATAAAAAAAGACTTATCTATAAATTTATAATGGCTAATCAAATGATGCCCAGAGACTGCTGCAAATTTATCTAATTTTGTTCTTTTTCCAGTAGAAACCTTTTCCCTTCTTCCTTCAGAATTCAAAAGCTATGCTTGCAAAACAATCATGACCCGCTGCGGACCCCACACCTAAGAGGCTGGCTCCAACGTGGGGCCTGGAGTTGCTGACGTCTGCCTCTCAGGCTTGTTCAAGGCCCAGAGAAACAGTCACCTGAATGTCTGACACAGAAAAGCCTTTGATACTACAATGAAGGGAGCTCCAATGGCCTAGTGGGTAGGGAGTTGTGCTGCCAACCCAAAGCAAGCAGTTCGAATCCACCAGCTGCCCCACAAAAGAAAGATGGATAGTCTCCTCCTGTATGATTTGCAGCCTCTGAAAACCCGCTTAAGGACCTGCTAGGAGTGAGTTCTGACTCAGTGGCACACAACACCAACAACTCTATTTAAAGCACTCTGCTGCTTGTTGGTGTTGTGTGCCTCTGCGTTGGAACCATATGACACTCTGGGACTGCAATGCGGGGTTTTATCACTAGGTCACTGGAGCTCTGCTTACAGCTCAGTAAATATCTTCAAACACTCTAATCAGAGCAACATGTTCAGGCAAAAGAAATCCTTGTGACTATCATTTTGATTTTTATCAGCTCTCCAATGAACTTGACCAATGGTTTTGTTTATTTTTAATGTTAAATTGCTCTATTTCCTTTTCTGAAATCAATAGAATTTAAAAAGAAACTCTTCTGGACCTGAAAATATCAAAGAAAGCTCTACTGGTTCGGAAGTTCCTCAGATTATACCATTAAACAAAGAACAGTTACTCTATTTCACTTAGAGGCCAGAAGAAACTGCAAATAAAGCATGTTCTTCATTAATCTCGTATTCCTTTTCCCTCTTCGAGAAATGTGCATGTTCCCTTACTCCGTTCCAGACCACAAAACAGACTTGAAAATTATTCACACTGACAAAACAGGTGGCATCTCTATATTCACAAACAGTGAAAAATACACTTCGAACAATTACCATTTGCCTTTGGGGACACTGCAAAGTCCTTCACTTAGCTGACTGACCCAATAATCATCTCAATCAACAAGTGAAGACAGAATGACTCCTAAGTATCAAAAAACATTTCAAAGTGAATATAGCAAAAGCAAAGAGAATTCTTTAACAATCAATTAATATCCACCCTCCAAAAAAAAAGTAAAGATTAGAGAGAAAAAATACAGATATTCAGTGAACACCTATGATGTGTGAGTAGACAGAATATATAGCATTTCATTAAATCTTCATAATTAGTCGGAGAGTAGACATTGGGCCCTAATTTACACAGTAGGAAACTTGACATTAACAAGACAGTGAATTATTTCTCCAAGGCCACACAAGTAACTAAACATGGAAATGGACTTGGAACTTGAATCCAACTCTAAAACCCAAGCAACAATGCTGTTCAAACTCCCACCTCTCAGAGTGAAAACGACTCACCATTTTTCAGAAGCCTGATAAGCAGTGAAATGCTTCTCCTAAAAACGAGGCACCTCGTACACCTTTAAAAGTACCAGGCACTACTATACATGCTTTTAGGTAGCTTAAAGTTAGGAACTGAATCACAGCTACATTAAGCCAATGAAAGGAAAGAGAAAAATGGCTTTTGTCAAGAATATCGACTGCATTGTTTCCCACAGTGGGGTCTTCCCTTCTGGCCTGATCTTGGAACAGGCACAACATAGAATAACATTTTATTAAATACTTGATAACTAAACACAAGGACACTGGTATATCAGGAAACCTTCTTTGAAAGTCTAAGCGATAGTCAGTACCTTCTTGGAGAACATCTTTCAGGGTTACTCGCTCCCGGGATATTGCAATGTCCTTCACCTTGGCCTTGGCCTCCAGAAGAGTGACACTTTTCAGGTCGTTCTTCTCGATGCGCAGAGTAGGATAACCTGAGGAGCCAACAAAGCCAAACCAAGCAACATGAATACCCTCCCGATGGTAGCAAGGTACACCAGCTCAGTCAGAGCTCACAGAGCAAGTCACGGGATAAAGGAACGTGGGGATGCTGAGGGGAGAACGCCCTGACGTGACTAACGACAGCCGTCTATATTGTTAGGCGTACTGAGGCGACCGTGACTCGCAGAGAACCCATGAACAGGTCTGCCCCCTGTCCCGACCTGTGTCACCCTCATCATCTCTGACAGATTTGAGCCCGCAGTCACTAGATCAACCCACCTCCCCGAGGGTCCTCCTCTCTTTTGCTGACCCTCCACTTTTCCACGCATGATGTTCTTTTCTGAGGACTGGCCCCTCTTAACAACATGTCCAAAGCAGCCTCCTCATCCTTACCTCTACGGAGCACCCTGGGCGCACTTTCTACAAGAGCTATTTGTTTTCTTAGCAGTCCACAGGATATCCGGTATTTATTCCTCTCCAAAGCGACAATACAAACGCATCGACTCTTCTTCTTCTTCTTCTTCATCCTTATTCAATGTCCAACTTTCAGACTGTGTATCCAGTAATTCAGTAATTCAAATGAATTCAGATGTTCATCAAGAAAAAGGCCATGGCTTCAATCAGCTGCATCTCAGTCTTTAAACTGACATCACTGCTCCTCAGCACTTTGGAGAGCTCCCTGGCAGCAGACTTTCCCAACGCAGTCTCTAATTTCTTTACTGCCTGGCACCAAGGATGCTGGTTCTGGATCCAAGCACCATGAAACTGTTGACAACGTCAAACTTCTCTCCCCCTTTCATGATTTTGCCTGGGGGTCCAGTAGTGAGGAGTTACATCTTCGTGACGCTGAGAGGTGATTCATGTTGAAGGATGCAGTCCTCGAGCTTCTGAAAAAGTGTTTGCCAGTCCTCTTCACTGTCAGCGAGCAAAGCTGTCATCTGGATAATGCAGATTCAGGATGAGTCTTCCTCCGATCCTCATGTCACAGTCCGCTCCCTAAGTCCAGCCTCTCAAACGATTCGATCAGCACAGTTTGAACAGTTACGGAGAAAGGACACAGCCCTGAAGCACATTTTTCTTGACTCTAGACCCAGAATACTCTTTTCAGGAAGCCCTCTTGAGCTTCCTACAATCCTGGCTCAAAATGTTAAAAGTGAGGAGACAAGAAGAGAAATTCCAAAAGCAGCACCATCACCAACAATTCATCTGTATTCAACTGTCTTCAGTCAAAAGAAATAGGTTTTGACTCATTACATTTAACTTACTGTCTCTACTGGACAATTTTTCTTCTACAGATTTTCTGATATAATCTCATAATAAAAGACTTTTTCAGATGAAGAGATGTTGAAGGGAGGGGTGTCACCAAAAAATAAAGCTTTTCTGACAAAATACAAGGCCGTGTGTTTGTTCTCCTCTTTGCTTCTGTGTAGTGTTTTGTTACTGCATGCCGAAAACTTTGAGCAGGACAATGGAGAACTGGGCGAACAGAGCCGTGCTCAGGAATGGGTCTGGCCCTCCTGTGGGGGCGGGGAGCGGGGAGAGGGGGACATGGCGGGGGCCTGGTGGTAAGCCATTACAGTCAGCAGCTGTGTGAGTTTGAGTTTTGTTGTTGTTTGGGGCTTGGCTGTTAAGTGAAAGGTCAGCACTTCAAACCCCTCGGCCACTCTGAGGGGAAGGAGGCGTCTCCTGGTGAGGTTCACAGAAACCCAAAGAGGATTGCTCTGAGTTTTAATTAACTCTACAGCAGTATGTTTCTTTTTTCTTGGTTTCTGTTATATTTAACCCAACTTGAAATGTGATGAAAGGCCATCCAACTGTGGACTGCTGTGACCTTTAAGTTTGGATGAGAAGGGATTTTCTTCCCTGTCTGTGCTACACCATTGGCCTCTGTGTACCCCAAAGGGGGAAGGAGTTTCGACAAGCCCATGCCTCCCCTCCCAGGATAGACCACTACTGTTTGTTGTTCAGGCAAGACTTGCGGTGAGAACAGGGTTTTGTCAGTTGCTCTGGCGGCCTCGGTCCTGGACCTCACACCCCCGGATCTCAGTCATGGGTCTGTCTCACTAGTTGTCTTCCATTCTACCTCAGAACTGCCAAACTCGGCCTGCACCTAGAGAAGCTCTCGGATGCGAGCGTTCCCACTCGGCCTCCCTCCAACAGCAGCAGACCACAGGATGCCGTGACCAAGAGGATTCCGGGAGTTGTCCTGGGGGCACGTGGCTTTTATCTTTATCTTCCCATAGAAATCCGCAGAACTTGAACCTACCGATCAATCTTAACCATCACTGCAAGTGAAAATATCAGAAGTCCCATGCCTCCTGATAGGATGCAACATGGTGAATACATTCCCGTCTTTATTTTCATAAAAAAAATTTAAATCTAAATGTAATCAAGCTCGTCTAGATATTAGATTACAGAGAAGATGATGAAGATAAGAACACACTAAGCCAAACTAGAGAATGAGAAATTTATATCCAACAAGTGATCATGTTCCTTCAACAAATGACAGGAAGAAAAATGGGAGGAGGGAACTGCTGAGAATGAAAAAGACAAGATACGCACGTACAGACTTAGGATTCTCATTCAAGTAACTATTAAAAGCTAATTTCTGAGATACTCAGAGCGTAGACTAGTCTGTCTTGGAGAAAGTGCCACCAGGGTGCTCCTTCAAGGCAGTGACGGTGAAACTCCGTCTCATACGCGCGCTGGGCATGCTGTCCTGGAAAGGAATTGTCATGCTAAGGATGGTGGAGGGTCAGAGAAGGAGGAAGAGCCCAGTGAGAGGAGCTGACAGTGACTGTCACAACGGGCTGGAGCCCATCAGAGACGGTGTGGACAGTGCAGGACGGGGCCAGGTCCAGATCTGTTGTCACCGGGTCATGTTGCTAAAACATGCCGAAAGGAGGTGGAACGAAGCCGTGTCATATTTGCCTCCAAGAAGCCTTTGTCGGGTGCACCTTCTCCAGGACAGACCTGTCTGTTCTTTTGTCCATCCAGGGCATGTGCCGTACTCCTCTCCAGCACCCCAGCTCAAAGGCATCAATTCTTCTTCCGTCACCCTTCCTCAATGTCCCTCTTTCAGAAATTAAAAGATCCCGGCTTGAACCAGGCACACTTTTGTGCCAGACACTGCTGCCCCTTAGCACTGTGGACAGGTCTCTGACAGCAGATTCTCTCAGTCTAACACGTCTTCTGACTTCTCCACTGCTTCTACCAGGGGTGGTGGACTGTGGATCCAGGGAGAATGAAATCACTGAAAACCTCAATCTCTTCTCCACCAATCATAATGCCACCTAGTGGTCAGTGCTGAGGATTGCTGTTTTTCTCGATGTGATGGAACTCATACTGAAGACTGTAGGCTTGGATCTTACCCAGCAAGTACTTCAGGCTTCTTCACTTTCAACAAACAAGCCTGTCATATGTATAATGCAAGTTGTTGATTAGTCTTCCTCCTGTTCTGATGCCACATTCTTCTCGTTTGTCCAGCTGCTCGAATAATTGCTCAGCATACAGACTGAATAGGTGTGAAGAAAGGATACAACCTGGACCCTTTATTTTGTTCAGACAACAGCTTGTTGTTCTGTGTAAAAGTTTCACATGAAAACAATTAAGTGTTCTGGGATTTCCATTCTTCTCTATTTTAGCTACAATTTGTTATGATCCACAGAGTCAAACGCCTTAGTGTGGTCAATAAAACACAAATAAACCATCCCAATGTTCATTTGCAAAACTCTCGTCTGAATTTCTATGAGAAATGGTTCATTAGCCCTTTTAAAATCAATATATAGAAACCTCTTCCAGTCAAAACTAACTGCACCAATTCAAATTCTTTTTAATCCCCCAATTATATAAAGTTTCATTCCACTTCCTAGAAAATAGAAGTTAAAAGCCAAGCCCGTGTTTGCACACCTTAGGCAGTATGTACACGGCGTGGTACACCTGTCCCACATACACAGTTACCACACTGGCCACTGGCAGACCACAGGCAGCTTCAGGAAAGCAGCTGTAGAATTAAATTAACTCTTACTGGTGATGGGAGTTGCATTGTTGGGCGTGTCAGCTCGCAGATACTGGGTCGTCTGGGTGGAGGGCTGGGACAGTCCCTGGGAACTACTGCTGGCACTGATGCTGTAAACAATTTTAAAAAGAAAAGTGTTTGGTGAGTTAACTTCAAGGGGAAAAATTCATACAGACAAAATGTGCACAGCTGTTCAATGCTTCTACCTGGACATCCCCTTACCACAGTTCATACTGAAAATTTAGCACACCTCAGGATAAAGAGTTCTAACTTTCCCTTCCTTTCTTCTCCACATGTGGTCAGGAAGCAGGTTAATCTCATCGAAAGCATTCACAAATGTAGGCACCCTGAACCACAACTGTATTTTAGGAAGCTATGGCTCATTTTAGGGCAACTGTCCATGTCACCTCAATGAGATTACTTTTTAGACAAATAATAGGACAGACCTCTTTAAATAATTATGCAAACTCTAAGGGGCCTACAGATAAGGGACTGGGAAACCCAGTTCAATTTGTCAATATGCACAAAGCTTGAGGCAGGAGGTGATGATACATCAAGTTCCAATTGGTTTAATCATATACCTTTTGCTTTTTCTACGTCCCTAATTCCACCCTTTTTAACACTGATGTAATACCTCAGAAATCTGCAGTAACCAAAGCACTCTATTACGTCTTATTCTCTAAATTATATGTGGTTGTTGTTTTGTGCCATTCAATCACCTGTGACTCATAGCGACCCTGTGTACAACAGCTCTGAACCCTGCTCTATCCTGAGCCAACCTTATTGTCTCTGACACACGTACCCTCATGATTCCAGGCATCCAAAAGATGGTACATTTAAATCACTGCTAACTATGTGTTCAAGAGTACTACAGATTAATGTCTCTCAAGGGTGTACTTTTCTCTCTCCGATGGGCAAACTACCTTGCCTCTTTTGCTCAGGTCATCCTTTGGAACATTCTAGTTTCACTGCCCTGGTCACTATCATTCCGTAGCAGTGAGGAACTTAAGCAGAGAAATTCAGCATCAAAAGAGACTAGATTGCAGGAAGCCTGAACCTCCAGGATGGGCATTCCATGTCTCCCTTAACTACAATATCAGTGCATCTTACTCAGAAGCTGATATCCTTTCTTCTAAAATCTCTTTTCCCCTGAATTGACTTAATGATCGTGAGTCTGTTTTTTCTTTTCCACATTATAGTTCTATGCTTTTTAAATGAAAAAATTATGACAAAATGCTGCCAGAAAGATAAAGGTTTACATATGAATTTATGTTACAAATTTCCAAATAAGAATTTATGTTATGAATAGTCACACAAGCATTTGAAAAATTTACCTATGTAATACCCCAGGCGACGAATACTGTACAACCCTATGTAGCCCTTAACTCCTATTAATATAATCTACTATCATAATTAAAACACTCCCCAATCATCAAGATACATTTCCTGCAAAAAAAATGTGGAGAATATACTTAGCCACTGTGAAGATAGATGTTTGCCTAATGGAATAGCCCTCAACACATCCTCCTTTTAGATACCCATCAGTATGTTTGCTTCCTACTTCTCCTTAAGTCTACAGTCAGCCTTCTGTCACCAGGAACTATGTGAGAAGATGCTTCCAAATTCAGAGAACATAGCAAAGTTTCAACAGCTTGTTACCTAGTAAGAGTTCCGAAAACCAGTTAAAGCTACAGATTATTCAGAAGTTGACTGACACTAAGTCTGTGTCAGAGTGGGTATGAGACAGTGCCATGAAGAAATGGAGAATACAAAGCTTGAAACCAAAACCATCAGCATCCTTTACTTGCTCTGTAACTAGAGCAAACCACTTAATCTTCATGGAGCCTTAAATTTTTTACAGAAGCAGCACAAAACATCAAAACCGTGAGAACCAGAGCTCAATGGGTTGTCTTGCTTCTCTGGGTCTTTTGAGGTGGAATCCTGTCACTCACCTATCACTCTATTAGCGGAACACTGTATTAGTGCTCAGCAAACATCACAGAAACTGGACTATACAGAAAGGAAGTGTCCAGACTGGCGGAAGATTTAGCAACTACCTGCATTAATTAGGTTGGTAACACAACAGTGCTTGCCAAAAGTGAAGACGACTTGAAAAACTTCTTGCAGAAGATCAAAGACTACAGACTCCAATATGGATTATATCTCAACAGTAAGAAAACAAAAGTCCTCAACACTGGGCCAAGAGGAAATACCATGACAAATGGACCAAAGTTGTCAATTATTTCATTTCACTTGAATTCACAAGCAATGAAGGCAGCAAAAAGCAAGGAGTCAAATGAAGCACTGCATTAGGGAAACCTGCTGTCCAGGATCACTTTAAAGTGCTAAAGAGTAAGGATGTCCGTTTAAGGAATAAGGAATGCCCGACTCATGGCATTTGCAATTGCTTCCTGTGTTGATGAGAGTTAGACAATGAAGAGAAAACACAAATGAATGATGCCTTTGGAGGGCGATGTGGTCCAGGCTGCTCCTGAGGGGCAACGACGGGGAGACTGGGGCGGACATATTTGGGGCTTATTACCTGGGAAAGCCTGTGTCTGGAAGGGACCGTCACACTGGGGAGGGTGAAGGGTCAGAAAGAAGAGGAAGAGGATCCCTAACGAGACTGACACCGAGAGGGCAGCAAGCAGAGCAGAAGGTGAGCTGGTGCTTCCGCGGAGCAGAGAGGAGAGGACGGCGCAGATCAGGCAGGGCCTGGAGCTGCTGTACAGTCACTGCGCGTCTCCATCAAACCAGCGGCACGAACACATTCTGAGTGGAACAGGTTACAATTTTCTGTTTCTCTACCCGACACAGTTCCTAACATTTACAGGACTCACAGTATCACTTCCTGAGAAGTTTGCTGGATGGGATACATTTTTACAAAAAAAATATTATTTATGTGTGTATATGCTGCAAAGTGCCTAGTCTTTGTGTGTTGTTGTTGTTATGTGCTGTGGAGTCGTTTGCGACTCATAGCGACCCTATGTACAACAGCCCTAAACCAAGCTCTATCCTGTGCCAATTGCACTGCCTCTGACACACCCATCCGATTACCCCAGTCACTGAATCAATCCACCTCATAGAGGGCCTTCCTCTCCTGCACTGTCCCTCCACTCTCCCAAGCATGATGTCTCTCTCCAAGGACCTGTCTCTCCTTACAACATGTCCAAAGTATGTCAGACGAAGCCCCAGAATCCTTGCCTCCAAGGAGCAGCCTGGTTTAACCCTCTCCAGGATGAATCTGTTTGCTTTCTTGGCAGTCCATGGTACATTCAATACTCTTCTCCAGCACCACAGCTCAAAGGCGTCAATTCTCCTTCTATCCTCCCTAGTCATTGTCCAACTCTCTGACGCAGAACAAGTGATTGCAAAAACCATGGCCTGTATCAGGCAGACCTTAGTCTCCAGAGAGACACCGCTGCTCTTGAGTACTTTAGAGAGGTCCCCAACCGCAGATTTAGAAATTATTTTTATTTTTGAAACTAAAATTATACAACATATATGAAAGTGTTACTTTAAAATAACTTGCAGCGCACTGGTGTTTCATAACCAGCACACACTGGTACTTACTGAACCGCCACCACAGACCTCAAAGGAATTACAAGCCATTTGTGTATCTCTCAAGTTAATTACTAGGCATTGTGTTTCTCTCCCGTGACTGAACAGTAGGTGGCAGTCTTGTATCACTTCAATCTGCAAACAGCAGTCAGTCAAAGGTGTTAGCAGAGCTCAGTAACGAGCAAAGCATATACTGAGGGGTCAGAACGCACAGTCTTAGCAAGCCAGGGCTTCCTGTTCTCACGAAGGAGCAGCAGTCGCAGCCTCGCCCAGGCACCGATCACTCCAACTCGCCGCTGCTGACTTAGTTCTGCCGCAGAGTGCCACCCTCCACAGGGTTTCCGAAGACCCCAGGTAGGTGGGAAACGTACACAGCCTTCTTCCTGTGCTGTCACCTCAGAACCGACTGCTTGCTGACCTGCTGGCGGGTCTTCAGAAGCAGTGCCGCTCTCGGGAAGGGACTGCCCATCATTCTTCCGCAGAACAGCGGATGGATTCGAACTGGGGGCCTTTGGGTTGGCAGTGTGACTCCCTACCACTTGGCACCTGGGCTTCCTACACATAATAGTACTTAACAGTTTAAAACTAGTTTAAATAAATTCTTTGGATTTTTGTAAGGGGGATTTGATCCCTGTTTTTTGAATGAAGTTAGGATTCTGGGCTCCCTGATCTGCAGCTCTGGTGGAGTGGTGAAAGGTCTGAATTCACAGTTAATCTGTGAGAGGAAGATGGCACTCTCCTTACAGACTATAAAACCTCGGACTTACAGATGGTTGCGGATTTTGGTGAGAGAGCCCCGTTCAGAATAAGAAGTGTACAAAAAAAAAGTCCTGCAAGTGTATACCGAGTGAACTAACTCAGTCTTGTAAGGACAAATACTATAATTAAAATAATAACCATTGTTGCAAAAATAGAAGTATAACTTGTAAAACACGGATGGGGATCCAAGGAGGGAAGAGGTGGCACCAGAGGGGTGAGAATGGGCAGGGGCAAAATCACAGAGTTGCACAGTTTGGTGGATGGAGGGAGTGGAAGAGGAAATGTGAAAGATCTGGTGGGGATCTGGAAAGATGGGGTAATGGTGGGCACATGGGCACAGTTCAATGGTGATTAATTTTATAAAATACAATGAATGAAGGGAGCTCTATTGGCCTAGTGGCAAGAAGCTGCACTACAGTCCCGTAGGCACGCGGTTCGAATCCACAAGAAGTTCTGTTGCAGAAGGAGGGGCAATTTCCTCCTGTGCCAGTCTGATCTGATTCCACGGTACAAAACAAACAAACAAAAATACAATGAATGGGAACAATTATATGAAACACAATGTGAATGAAGGATAGTGTGAAACAAAATGTATACAAATTTTATATGCAAACCAAAATAAAATAAATTTTTAAAAAGTCCTGCAAGAAAAAAATTACAGCAACTGCTCCCCTCCCATAAAAAGGAACACGGAGAACAGGGGTAAACGGATGGTGGTGAGGTCTAGACAGACGTCAGGAAGGGGAAGGCAATGGAACTGGACTTGAAAGAACCAACTGGTGAAAACTGAGGGGACCCTGAAGGTGGGGGGGAAGCTGACACAGAGCTGAGGGGCCCAGCATGGGGCAAAAGCGAGGAATCACTAATCACATCGTCTGACTGGAGCGTAAGGAAGGCTAACGTCAGGGGGTGTGGGATCTAAGTCACCACAGGATGGTCACCCTGAATGCCAAGTTATGACCCTGGGGACATCTCCAGTCAGTAACCGACTATCAATGGGGAAGAACAGAACGGCATGCTGGGAAAACAAATGGCAGGCATCTCACCTCCACCCGGTCACGTGATCTGGCTGTGACGTCCCTCTCTGTCTCTGACTCACTCTGGCTGAGATAAGTGCCTGCTGTGGTTCCCACACTATGGCGTGCAAATCATAATCATCATATTTACATACTTTGGTAACTACTGGTTAATGTCAAAGATTAAATCTTTGAAGCCAGGGGTGTATCATTCATTTTCTTATTCCTATTCATTTGCATAATATCTCCAACTCAGTTTATCTCAAGCTGCTACACATCAGAATCATCCAGGAAGCTTGAAGAAAAACACTGATGCCTGAACGCCACTCTAGACCAATTATATCAACATCTCTGGAAGGTCAGGTTCAAGTACTGACAGGTTTCAAAAGCTTCCACCATGAACTGAATGTGCAGCTTGGCTGAGAACCAGTCATTTCACCTACGGCAGACAGGCAGTAAATGTTTACCTGCTGGTTGGCTGGAAAGGGAATGAGAAGGGAAGAAGGTGCACTGAAAAGGAGCTCTTTCAAAAGGCAGAAGGAAACCAGAACAGAGTCATGTCAAAGGCATGGACAAAGTATTTTCACTAACAACCAGACAGGGGGTGGGCAGGGAGAAAAGTGCAACAATGAATGACTGGAAACCCGAAGTCTCTGTAAACTTTCATTAAAATTAATTTTAAAAAATTTTAAAAAGCCAACCTCTGCATGAAAATAACACAGCCTTGCTTGCTGAAATGAGAACTTGAAACGTTTGGTGCAGAACATCAAATGAACTTCAATATGGATTGCTTCTCAACAACAAGAAGACAAAAATCCTCCCCATTTGACCAATAAGAAACATCATGACAGATGGAGACAAGATTGAAGTTGTCAACTATTTGAGCTGTGGCACTTGAGAAGAGCACTGAGCGTGCCCCTTGGACTGCCACGAGAACAGGTACGTAGGTCTTGGAGAGGGTGCAGCTCAAACACTCTTTAGAAACGAGGCAAAGCTTCATCTCACACACTTTGGGCATGTTGCTAGGGGAGGCTATTCCTTGGAGAGGGACATCATGCTCAGGGAAGTGGAGGATCCCCGAAAAACGGGAAGACCTTCAACAAGATGGCTTGCAGGAATCGGCTCAAGCGGATAAGGAATAATGAGGCCTCCACACATAGTAGGACAGCATTCAAAGCAGCTGTGCAGAGTGTTGCTATGAGTCATACTCAGCTCGATGTCACCTAACAACAACGGGAAAGCAGAAATAATCCCTTCTGAGGCCCTGAGTTAATCTGCACGTGAAAAGACAATTTAATCATTTTTAATTTGGCCAATTCTAGTAGTGAATGCTTAACAGTTAAAAATACATGTACTTCTTTTGCAATTGTAGTTTGAAAATATTGTAATAACAAAAATATTTACATATCACCTAAATAGTTACTGTACCACGGTCACTTGTGGTTGCTGCGAGGCTGAACACTGTGACAATAATGTGTCAAAAGCGTTAACGGCTGGCTACCCAATGCAGACAGAGAGTTGGGTGCAGCTCCCCGATTAAAACAAGCTTGGAAGGAGTGGCATCCACTTCCGTAATAGCTTGCTTCCAGAAACCCTATGAACCTGGAGAGAGGATGAAAGGCACCCCAGCATCGAGGACTCTCCTTCACAGGGTCGCTATGAGTCGCCTGCGACTCGACGGCACTTAACAACAACATCACCTAAATAAAAGTATTTTTACTAACAACTAATAAACTGTAATCTCTGGCATCACAAATTTATAAATGAAGACACACAAAATAGCAATGAGGAGATGCGTGCTTCCTTTGACCTGCCTCCCTCACGCCCCACTTGACCAGTCAGTCTTCTCTCACAGGAACTATATGAGAAGAGCCTTTCAAAGTTTCCAGAGCCTGTGATCTTATGTTAAGAGTCCCACACAGCAGTATAACGAGCGCCCATGCACAGGCACAACTTTAGTTTACATAAGTAACGCATTTTTTTCCGTTCCCAACATCTGTACAATACCTGTCATCCAGTTCAATCCTTTTCATACTATGAAGGTGCAAAACAGCTAATATTATTGCTACAAGAAATATGACTGCACAGCAGACCCCCACGCTGATGTAAAACACGCGTGTCGAGGTGGTTGGAGCTGCGTGCACAGGATCATCTGAAAGAAAAAGGAAAAACACAGTAAGCCTCCCGGACAAACACCGTCGACCAGTTTTTGGCTCAAAACAGACAATGAGTTCCTTTTTCAATTTCCTATTTCCATTCTTTGACCAGAGACTGAACAGTAGCCAGCAGGAATGTTAAGTGCACAAACTTTCTTCTCTTTCTTTATGTTAATTTTCAGAAATGCTACTAGAACTCTTAATGGATCAGACAGCTAACTAATGAATCAGATAGCTAATCAATGAAAACACTCAACTCAAAGCTCTACACACAAAATAACCTACCTGGGGCTGTGGTGCTCAGTGGAACTTTCTGCAGTGACAGAAATGTTCTATTTGTTTTTTCTTTGACACATTTTTACTTTTATAAACACAAGTGTTTAAATGAAGCCAGGACCAGGGTGAAGGAAACACCCACGTGTGGTTTTGAAAGCGTAACACTGCATGTGAAACGCACAAGGCTGCTCTCCCACTCACACTCTGGGGCAGGTGGCAGGATGTGGGGAGTCCCATGAGGCCTACCCTCTTTGCAGGCAGAGTCAGACCCACTCCCCATAAGCGAGACACACACCTCCGCCCCCACCCCGCACCCCCCGCCCCATGACTGCTTCATTGCAGTGGAGAAGAGGGAGGGGTGAACATGGATCTAAGAGGAGCTGGGCAGACTCTGCAGGGCTGAGGGGCGAGCAGTGACTCAGCTCTACTCTTAGAGCACCCAGCTCCTGGCCTACGCCACGTCCCGGCCAGCTAGCAGCTTCGCTGGGGGCTCCCATCCTACGCCACGTCCCTGCCAGCTGGCAGCTTCGCTGGGGGCTCCCATCCTACACCACGTCCCTGCCAGCTAGCAACTTCGCTGGGGTCTTCGAGCATCGTAAATCTATGATCATGCATCGACTCTTGAGAAGAGCACATTCTGTAAGCAGTCCTCTTCGTGATGTTAGGAGCTCAGCAGTAAAGAAGCCAGCCACGGGCCAGGCCACTACGCTGCTCACAATCAAGTGTGACGCCTGAGGGGAGTGCAGGAAACACTCAACAGACAGGTACCCAGACGAGAACGAGGGTCACATTCCCTGCGGCTCCTGACCAGGATGCTCCTCATCCCCCACATCAGACTCCCCTCACCCCCTTCACCCCGATTCATGCAGGCCTTTCTCCAGGGCCCTTACAGAGGCCTTCCCTAACGAGCTGTCTAACACCACCTCTCCTCATTCTGACACCTTCTGCAAACCTTCACCTGCTTCACCCCGGCCTTCTCATCACTGGGCCCATCACACACGTGCGTGCTTGGTTCACTGCCCGCCTCATTTGACTGGGCGGCTTGTTCATGCTCCTCCTGACTGCTGTACCCTCAGCACCCCGACTACATCAAGCCCAGGGCACGCATAATGAGCACGCAAATGTGTGTAGTATGACAAGAAGTAAACACATTAACAAACAGATGAATTAAAAACAATCTGTGGTAAGTGCTATAAGCTACTTAGACAAGGCAGAGCCTCGGAACAAAACAAGCAGCTACAGGGAGGGACCCTATGAGAGCCGGTGCTCAGCGGGGCTGCTGTGCGTCTCCAGAGTTCCCCACCTGCGACCGGGGACACACTGACCACTTTCCTATCACTCGTCTTAGGGTAAGATATTTGCATTTTCCATCTCCGAAGGTTCCTGCTTGCACAGGTTGCACTGTATTTTAAATTGAGAGTTCGGGGTGGATTTCTGAGAGGAATTCTTTTAAACTGAGATGTGGATGCCAAGGAGGCCAGCTGCAGAGGGAGTGCATTACTGCTACATGAAGGACCACACAGGACAAAGGGTCTACAGGGAGGAAGGGGCTTGGTGTGCGTGAGAACCCAAAAGAAGCCAGGGATGGAGTCGGACAGGAAGTAACGGCAAGGTCTCCAGCAAAGGAAGAGGATGCATCGTGCAAGGGGGATAAAACAAAGACGCTTCTGATGCTGCATGGGGTAGTGAAGGCAGAAACCACACACAAGCTGGGTTGCCGCTGTTGCCTGGATAAAAGTGCTACAGTGCAGACGATATGTAAATGAACTTACGGATGGACACGCTAGGCATTAGTGAGCTGAGATGACTGGTACTGGCCACTGTGAATCAGACAATTGTATGATCTACTGTGCTGGGCATGAAAAACTGAAGAGCAATTTTAATTCATAATTAAAAGGATAATGTTAATGCCTATTCTAAAGTACAATGTTGTGAGTGATAGGATACTATCCATATGCACACAGGGAAGACCTTTCAACACAACTATTATAAAAATATATGCACCAAACACCAAAACCAGAGTAGAAGAAACTGAGGACGTCTACCAAATTTCAGAGTCTGAAACTGACTGAACAGGCAATCACGACGCATTAATAATTATGACCGGAATGTAAAAGTTGAAAACAAACAACAAGGACTGGTAGTTGGAAAGTATGACCATGGTGACAAAAATGAGGCTGGAGATGCAATGACAGACTTCTATACAATGAATGAATGATTGATCTATTGCAGACGGGTTCTGGCAAACATAAACAATGACAACAACACACATGAACTTCACCTGATGGACGACACAGGAAGCAGAGTGGCTACATCTGTGGAAAGAGTTCATGGAGAAGCTCATTATCAAAAGCAAGGCCAAGGGCTGACCATGGGGCAGACCATTAATTATTCATATGCAAGTTCAAATTCAAGGTGAAGAAAATGAAAACAAGTTAATGAGCACCAAAAGAGGACCTTGAATTTAAATACTGCAATACAACCTGAATTACAATACTGGAAACAAACATAGATGTGATGTCTGAACACTAAGTACTGAAGACCAGAGGAGCTGCAGGATGGTGTCAAGGATCTCCTCCATGCGGCAGAAGGCCCTCATAAAGACG